ACGAGTATTGCAGAAAATAATATATTGATTGAATAAGTATTTACAGGTTTTTTCCCTTCGCAACAGACATGTCAAGTACGGTATCTTAAAACATATATAACTAACCAAAATAAATATTTAACAGATTTATCAATTAAATCGCATTTCAATAAAATATTGGCTTTTACAATAATTTTAAATGTTTTTTCAATGATGTATCATATATCTTGGCCTGGACATTTTTGATGGTGGAAAGAAGAACGGGAAGACAGTGAAAGACAACCATCCAATGTTCAACCATGCATACATTGTCGACTGGTTTGAGAAGCTGCTCCATGAAGTTGAGAACCTCGGATTGAGAACCTCGGATGGGCATCGACTGTCTTTGTCATGGACAACGCCACATATCACAAGGGGCGGCCGTTTGACACCCCCAAGGGCAACTGGAAGAAGGGCGATCTCTATCAAGCCTGTGTGAAGTTCATGGTTCCTGGTGTGTCTGCTACTGATCTCAAGGCGACGATCTGGGCAGCCTTGAAGAAGCAATCGACGAGCACATCCCACCTTCGAAAATGGCACGGACTCGTGGACATCATGTGGTGTTCTCGGCTCCAGGGTATTCTGACCTTCAACCGATTGAGATTGTGCGGGCCAATGTGAAGGGTACAGTTGGTCGTGTTTACACTTCTACCACTACGTTTGCGGAGGTCCGCGATCGTCTTGATCGGGCGTTTTATGGATTGGACTCTGAGGTGATTTACAACACCATTGCAGCATGTACGACAAACTGCTTGTGCTGGATAACTCTCTTCGAGAGGCAGAAACTTTGGCGGGAGCAAGCTGTTTTCAAGACTTCGATAGCGAAACTTCTGAGGAAGTTGACGTTTCGGCTTCAAGCGACTGCGGTGACATGGGTGTGAGTGAGAATGACGAATAGCATCGTGGCTTCTTGTGTTTAATTTCTTGTGTAACTCAATACATCAAGTTGAATGCAATTGTAGAGGTCCAGTCAGTTCGACAATTATTATTATGCCCGTGCAAATGTATTATTGATTTTCAGAAATTGGCCTTGGCCCCTCGATGCCCTAGTGGACTGTGAAGTCATGGTGGATTCCAGTCGCCAAATATATCTACTACCATCATTGGATAAGAATCAACCAGAAATATATGTGACTTCCACGCACCATTTCATTCACGCTTGCTACGCCAATTGCCAAGAGGGCCGCGAAAGGCAAGGCTACTGCGGCCAAGGATAAGACCACCAAAAGAGTGTGGGCGGCTGATATGGTGTTAAATTTGATCGACAAACACTGCAATGAATTTGCATCTAACGTGATCGACCATTGATCGGCCAAGGTGTTTCGTCCAATTGAAATTAGTACGATGTTTCATTGGACAAAATAAATCCCTGTGAT